GGTTTTGGACTCATTCAAAACAAGTTTGTTATCATTGAACCATGAGGTGGCCATGACAAGAAGGCTTTCAACCTTAGATCTAGAAATACTGAGGATGGGATCCTTGGCAAACAGGGTTGTGTCATCAGCATAAAATATGGCTCTACCAGACACATGGTAGTACAAGTCATTAATAGACACAAGGAACAGAAATGGGCCCAAAATGGAGCCTTGAGGAACACCATGATTCACAGACAAAAGAGAGGAGTTTCTACCTCTCCAAGATACTACCTGTTGTCTATTGCTAAGATAGGATCTGAGCACCTTGAGTGCATCGCCGCGTACGCCATATCTTTCCAGCTTCAGGATTAGGATATTGTGTGAAACACAATCAAATGCTCGTGAAAGGTCACAAAGCAAAACTGAGACATTTAATCTATTTTCGAGTGAGTTGAGCACAGTCTGGAGAAGGGAGTCCACTGCCGAGACAGTAGACCTGCCCCTCCTAAAACCAAACTGAGCTGGCACAAGCAGGCGATGGTCCTCAAAGTGCTCGTACAACTGTTCTAGCATAACAGCTTCAAACACTTTGGCAAATATGGGGATAATAGCAATAGGCCTATAACTACTGACATTGTCATGGGCTCCTTTCTTAAACACTGGGACTACCCTGGATATTTTCATTGCATCAGGAAAAATTCCCTCTTTCAGACAAGCATTGATCACATTTGCAAGGTGATTTGCAACATAGTGGACAAAACCTTTTAGTAGATCAGTTGACATATCAAAGTAATCTTTACTTTTAGATTGCTTGAAACTGTGAACAATTTTAATTATGTTAAGGGCAGTAACAGGCTTCCAAGAAAAGTCGAAGGGAACCAAAGGAACCTTTTCCAGGTTACATCCAGTACTGTCTACATTGGGGTTAGCCCCTTGTGAAATATTATTTACAGTGCTACAGCTGTTTACAAGTTCCTCCACAGAGTTAAGGAAATATTCATTAAAATCCTCTGCTTTAGCAAATTCACAACTAACAGGAGCTGACTTAGTCCTAGTTCCCTTAATAAAATCCCAAGCTGCTTTACAGGGATTAGGTGCCTGTGAGATAGATGAGGCAAGGTAAGCTTGTTTTGCCTCTTTTACTTTTATTTTATAATCAGTCCTCAAACTCCTTAAATAAGGTATGAGAGCAGGGCTACTTTTTGAAATATCGCTAACTAGGATTACTTGATCTCTCAACTTAGACAACTCTGGATTGTACCAGTTACCAGACTTCTTAATTTTATTGTTTTGAGTAGGCCTACTATCAGTTATCTTTGTTTTGAGGGGGACACAAGAGTCAAAAGCATACTTAATGTTGTCAAAAAAATATGTAAATGACATACAAGCTGGAAGATAGGCCAGAGATTTATTCCATAAATTCTGATATGATTTCAACACATCGTGAAATGCCTTAACATTTGATGGGCTGAGTAACCTAAAGCTAACCTTAAAACTAAGTTTACCAGCTAACAGTTCCTCCCCCTTCAAGTCAAATTTAGGTCCAGTAGACAAACTTAGGATGACATGTTGATGGTCAGCAATCTGGTCTCTGCTAACCCAAGCACGATAGTTCCAGCAGTCAAAGTTGGTTAAGAATGTGTCCAGAGATGCTTTACCTCTTGTTGGCTCAATAATACTACTATAGATATTGAAACTACGTAGTAGGTTTAAAAAATCACGAGCCTCACTTGTAGGCTTTAGTAAATCTATGTTATGGTCAGTTCCAATAACCACAGAGAGACCAAGAGTGGTGAGATAATAAAGACATTGGTTCAGAAGTCTTAAGAAAGTGACAATACTACCACTTGGTGACCTGTACATGGTAACAACAACAAGAGATAGTTCATGTATTGCTACAGCTGCAAATTCACCTTGTACTTCAATAGAAAAGTTACTCAGGTCCAAAGGTATACAGGTTAGTTCATTGCGCACAAACAATGCCACACCACCCCAGGGGCGTGAACGACAAAAGTGGGATACAAGGTTGAGATTTGAAATTTTACTATAATAGTTTATTTCATCGTTTACCATCCAATGCTCTTGAATACATAGAATGTCAATTTTTTGTTCCATGCACAGAATTTCCAAAAGAGGAATTTTGTTTCTCAAGCTTTGGGTATTTACAGTACAAAAGTTTAAGATATTTTCACAAGCAGCACTGGGCTGACAGATCACATCCTTTTCCCTAAAAAAGTACGAGAGGGCACGTAGTCTCGGTTTTGTCTAGGCCTAACCTCAAACTCCTTAACTAAGGTACCTACTGGCCAAAAGGACGAATCGAGAACCCTGGTAATCTCCGCTGGAGATATTCCTACTTTAAAAGAACTGTACGAGTCGTACTTAGTATTTAATTTTACACACTCACCAGCTATTTTACTGTCTTGGAGGTATGAGGTAATTTCATCAGGTTTAGTGTCACTGGCCAATCTAGAAACGAACACCCAACTTTTCCTCTCAACCGCCCTAACCTTAGATTGGGAATTACTGGAATCGTTTAACTTACTCCCAATAATGATAGACTGCTTTCTATTGCTAGGTCGGGATTGTTTAGCCACTTTGTATTTCCACTCCTGATTACCAGATTTCGCGGTAGCCCTATCTCCAGTACCTTGTGTAGCCTGGGCATAGGACTTGGCCTTCACTGTAGGCCTATCAGATAACTTGGTGTTGTTTAGGTCTAAGTTTATACACTCCTGAGAGGTTAATGGAAAGTCAGTTACTTGTACAGCAAGATCTTCCTCTTTGGTGAAAGACTCAGGTAAAACTAATTGACTAGATATATTAGCTTCTAGGCCAATATTGACACTAGGATCAACCGGCTTTGTATGTGAATCCAATATTAAATCTAGTTTGTTGTTGATACAAGCATTATCAGAAACAACTTTGTTAACAATTTCAAGTAAATTCAAAATACTTGACTTAATTTCTTCGACATCTTCAGCCTTCTCAATGACTTTTTCAAACCTAACCTCACATGCACTACAAGCCCACTTGGACTTCTTACCTAATAAACTCATATAATTGTACTCTTCGCAACTTATTAGCACACATTCAGAATGATACCATTTACGGCAGAAAAATTCACAGAAAACTCCTTTACCATCATCTAAAACAGCATTTTTACAGACTGGACAGATATCTTCGTTCTGCCCACCAGCCATGACAGTTCCACTCCATATCCACATAAAAAAGATATGTTATGAGTTATTAGTGTTAATTTTTTACTTCATACTTTTACTTAAAATACTCCTGGTCAATAATATTTTATACCCAACCAAAAAATGACAAAATATTTGAATTTCTGGCAATTACAATATTTTCACAAATAGGTTGCTTGAAAATATAAACCCTTTCAAAAGTATTAAAAATATTTACTCAGGTACAAGTGTCATTAGGCTCTGAGGAGTGATTAACTTGTTGTTTAATAAGACCAACTCTTTGAAATATAATCTTTGAATCACAAAAATTTGTTAGGTTACCTAAATTGGTATGTAAGAGTCAGCCCTACTTGGCGGGCTTTGTTGCATAGTAAAGCCCCTTTTACACCCTGCAGTGCGCTGGAAGTCGCTTTGCCCTACGACAGACACTGCAAGTTTGTGCAGTGGCAGTGGTGGGGGTATTAGGGCTACCAACTTAAGGATTTCTATTCTTCTCTAAAAGTGATTTGTAACAGAGAAGTAAGATACAGAGGATAAAAGCTAAATGGACAACTGTGCGCTTTTAGCTCTGGTATGTTGGGGCGGAAATGTACTTGTAACAAACAAGGAAGAGCCCAAACGGCTGTGGCTACATGGCCTTGTTGTACAGCAGTTGTAGCACACAGGATCTTCTTACAGTGTAAATGCTCTAGTACGAGGTGGCGAGGGGGAAATGGGAGCGGAAACCTCTGTATCTCATTTCACTGTGTTTGGAGTAACTTAAATGAATTTGAATATAGACATGTATTCAATTAAGGTAGTATTCTTATACTTAAATACGAATAATAATTCCTTGGTGTAGCACCGTGCTAAACTCAGACTTAATACGTCATAAAAACATTGCTGGTTTATAATAATAAGTAATAAATAATACCATTTTTAATCCTACTAATATTATAAATGAGAAAGATTGTATGTATGTTTGTGACAAGTGAACGCGAAAAATACTGGTCGGATTGGGCTGAAATTTGGCATGATGATAGCTCACATTCCCGATTAACATATAGGCATATTCTTATTTCAAAAATCCTTTCGGGCTCCCCCCCAGTGGCTCTAGGGTTTCCCATGTTAACCTTATGAGAAATGGAATTATTGAATCTTAACAGCTGTTTCAATTAAACAAGTTGGTTCTGTTCTATGATGTTCAATAGCATTAAAGTTACAAGGATTACCAACAGGGTGCAGCACTATTATTTCTTTTACATTTATGACAACAGCTAATTTGCAACCAAAAGGTGAGTGAGCGTAGCGAACGAACTTCAACCTGGAGGCGAGTTAGCCTAGCGAACGAGCTAACCTGAAGGCAAGTGAGCGCAGCGAACGAGCTCGAACCTAAAGGTGAGTGAGCGTAGCGAACAGACTTCAACCAGGACGTGATTGAGCCATGCGAACGAGATAATCTTGAAAATTAAGAAGTTAAACGGGTTAAAGCCCGCGGGTTACGGCTAGTTGTAAAATAAATATTTCAGAGGGTATACAATAATAAATGGGGACTATTTAATAAATTGTTATCGTTATTTATCATGCTTTAAAACTTAATAAACAAATAATGCAGGTACATGTTGGGAAGTCTTTTTTTTTATCCTGTTGGCTGCACTTGTAAGCTCAGCTGCGCAGCATATGCTATTTATGTCAACAATGTGGCCAGTAGTAGTGGCCAATTGATGAAAAGGGGCCAAGATGAAATGTCAACTAGAATCTTTTATATTTTATCATATAAAGTAAAATAATGGAGACAGAAAACTGTATTATTACTTTAATGAAAAAATAATGGTTTTGTAGGTATTTCAAGTGAACCAGACAGGACAGGTGATCCAAGGGGCTAATGGGCAGCCTATAGTTGTCCACTCAGTACCTACAGCTGGGCAGACCATACAGATACAGGGGGGTCAGGCTATTCAACAGCTGCAAGTGGTGCCTGTACCCACACTGCCGGTATGTTATTAATACTGTAAATTCATTGAGTAAAGCTGTTTTTAGTTTAGTAAAATTGTATTTGATCCGCCAGTCATGCTACTCTGACACTATAAAAAATCTGCATAGAAGAAATCTGTTTGTAGAAAGACCCTGTACTATAGCAAGATCTTCTAGACAACAACAGTGTTCTTGAAATCTCCCCTAATTTGCTAACTACAAAACTCTTTGATCCTTCTAATCAATATAGAGTTAGGCCTACCTTGATGATATGTCCTGTATTTTGCAGTGTCTTACGCAGGGTTTTAATTGGAGAAAAACAGTCTGGAGAAATAGCGAAATCATTCCCTGTTGTGTTGTTTGTGTTATTCCCTGTTCGGGCGCCATTTGATGTGACAAAATTTCGGGTTGTGAGACAAAATTTGATTTTAAAATAAGTAATAGTCGTCTCAGTCTCGAGTTTATTGGCTCAGAATATTAAATACAACACTGCTAACAACGTTTAGCTTTACTTTAACAAGTGATCATCATAGCCACCCAAAAAGATAGTGAAGCTAAATTTGGAATTTTGAATAAATTATCTTAAATGCGAATAAGCCTAATTAATTATAAACTTAACCTAAACGTGATTCGTTCGTTGTACTTGGTAATCACCAAAGTAGACGTGTCGGGAAAATTAGACTCGGTCGATCACCAGAGTCGATACGGGGTTTCTTAAATCAAATTTACTAAGGGCGTTCAGGGTAACGGAGTAAGCCCTACGGATAAGGTAAACCACCCAAATTCCGGTCGGATAAGGTAAGGTTAGGTTTTAATCAGTTGTTGCATGAATTATTCAAATGTTATGATCATATATTTATATTTGTTTTATTCTCCTATGTTTTCTTGTATAAATTATATAAAAAATAAACAGATATCTAAATAAATAACATTGTTTTGGTTTATTTTCTTGGACTCCTCAAATTAACCCTATAATCCTAATCCCGGTCGGTTCCTACCCTAATGCCGGTTTCTCCCTGCCTAATTCCGGTCGATGTTGTTTTCCACCTGACAACGATTATTTTTGCTATTAATGCAAGCCAACATATTAAAAACCACTGTAAATGTAACTCAATTACAAAAAATCTCATCCAAAACCTCTAAATGGGCAGTTTAGACACATTCAAAGACGTTTAAAATAATTTTACTTATCAGTATTGGTGGGTACAAAAATACAATAAAAAGAATGCAATAAAGTAAAAAATTATATTATGTTATAGGAGAAATCACACATTTTGAGGAAAAACTATTACATCATGAAAACTATTACACCTACATTATAATTGAAATATAAAATCAGTCGTCTGTCATAATAAATATCAAATGTCAAAAATATCAAAATATCAATACCTCTAAATGGCCAGTTTTGACAAATGCATAGACGTTCAAAATACTTTTACTGGACAGTATTGATATATACAATAAAATACAATAAAAATAAAGCAATAGGCCTAAAGTAAAGAACAATATGTTATAGGAGAAAATCACACGAAGTATAGAACAATATGTTGTAGGAGAAAGTCACACGGAGTATAGAACAATATGTTGTAGGAGAAAATCACACGGAGTACAGAACAATATGTTATAGGATAAAATCACACATCTTAAGCAATTAATGCTACACATACATAATTAATAGGCGATCAATCTGTCACACTGGGTAACTATTATGTAAGAAAATGTTAGAGAAAACTAGTCATTTAAACTTCCAAGTATAACAAGTGTCTTTAGAATGCTACACATTTTAACACAAATATAACCTATTAAGGTAACTTGAGAAAATCACGTCATGTTTGGTATTGGATTACTAATGATTTAGGTGATGATCTTTTGACGGAACGTGAAAAAACCTCTCCGTTCCCGAGTAGGTTCTGTTAAAACTTGAAGAACGTCTTCTAGAGGAACATCGTTGTCAACGTCATCTTCTACAGGCCAAGCAAATTTATTCCCCTTTCTCTCCAGAAACTTAGGACCAAGTTTATCTCCTTGGATGGATTTAATCTGACCCACAAAATGTTCCTTATTACTATTTATCAGGTATGGCACTACCACCCAATTGTTGACAGCCAAGCATCTTCTTTCTTCATCTGTAATAACAGTCCCGAGTGAAGAATATATATCACCATCACTATCTGAGCTGGCTGGGTCATCCGTTTTTTGTTGTTTTCGTTTTTTATTGTTGTCTTTGCTCTTGCCTTCTTGTTTTATTCTTCTTTTTATTTCATTTTCGATTTGTTTTCTTTCCTTAGCTGCTTTTTTTTCTTTCTTGTCATCCTCCCTTTTCTTTAAATATTCTTTGTACGGCGCGGAAGTAACTACTGCAGGAAGCCTCTCTTTTTGTTTCCTTTTTTTTTGAGTAGATGTACTTGGTTCAGGCCATAACAGACATCTCTTGAAGGGTGATGGGATGTTAGAAGGTGAGCTGCTGAATTTTTCTGGAGTAGCCTTTGAGTGTGCACCTATAGCAAGGTCAGACGTCACATCTAAAATCACCTCGATATGTTCTGAATTTCCTTCAATGTTATTTACAACGTTCTGCAAGACGTTTTCTTTGGTTAGAGTGCCATGCTGGAAATGCTCTTCTGCAACAACCTGAATTAGTTCTGAATTTGTTAAGTTATGCTGCTCGGCGGTCGGCTGAATGTCCTCAGTACTTGCCAGGTTATTTCCTTCCTCCACGACCATCAATAGGTCACCAATGTTTTCAATTTCTTCTTCACTATTTCTGATCCCAAGTAAATTTTCAATTTCCATAATAACATTATTTGCAGAAAAATCTGCAACGTTTCCCTCTGTTGTTTCATCATCAATGTTGTCCTCAATTCTGTCATCAGCAAATGTGTCAACAGGAATGACGTCCCCATCCACTACTTCACTGTCACCCTCTTCAATTTCTGTTACTTCTTGTGCAGTCTGATTTTTATTTTGTTCACGTTCTCGCTGATTTTTTGCTTTCGCATCTGCTAATTGTTTATTCATGTCAGCCACGTCTTTGTTGATGGTTTGCTATAAGGCATACAGCGATTCATCTGTTGTTTCGACCTGAACTGAAGCAAATCTTCTAACTTTGTCCACACCGATCTTTGTCTCAAAGTATTGCAGATGTCCCTTCATCTCTTTCAATTTCATTTCTAGACTTTGAGCTGAAGGAGCAAATTCTTCTTTCTTCAGCAACTTTTCATATTTGATCTTGTCCGGGTCCAGGTTAGCCAATCCAGTTGAAGAAAATCCATTTTGGATAGTCTCTTTTTTCAAACATTCTTTTATGACTTTCTCTAGATTAGGCGAGAATTCTTCCCTTTTCATTTTTCTGCCCCCGTTGTCAAAGCGCCATTTCTGAACGAACTTTTTCCAGGACGACTTTAGGGGACTAAACACAGCCACGTCTAAAGGTTGCATTATATGCGTAGCGTAAGGGAATAGTGCTACTAGTTCTATTTGGTTCTTCTGGCAGAAGTCTGATAGGTGGAACGTTAAGTGAGACGTGTGGCCGTCGATAAATAGGACCACGGGAAAGGTGTTGCCGTTTGCTACGAGCCAGGGATGGAAGACAATCGTTACGTATTCATAAAATGTCTCACACGTCATCCACCCTGACTCGGACTTCCCTATCCCCCAATTATCTGGCATGTGATTTACAATGTAGCCAGGGATTCTCGCGTATGGGAAAACGACCATTGGTGGCACAACGTCCCCAGCGGCATTTGCGTTGATTAAGACGGTTAAACATTCCTTTTCGTCGTTCCCGCTTACAGTGTGCACCCTTTTTTCTCCCTTTTTAACGAGAACCTTTTTACCTTGAGGGCTGAGGTAAAAAGCGGTTTCATCTGCGTTAAAGACTCTTTTTTTGTCTTTAAACACATCTAATAGGTTATTCTCCTCCATGTATAGTTTAACTTCATGGAACCAGTTCCTGATCTGCCCTTCTGTCACCCCTGCTCTTGACGTGGTTAGCAGTTGGGTCACACGTTGGGAGATTTCAGGGTGCCGCTTTAAGAATAACGAATACCACTTCTCCCCGGGAATTGAATCAACAAATGGGTTTACCCTTTCCAAGTCTTTCACCAATTTTGCGACCGACGATATTAAATGGTCTTTATTGATGGGGAAACCTCGGTTAGCCATCTGTACCACCCACTGCACTAGCAAATCCTCCTCTTCACTGGACAGTACAGATGGTCGACCAGCCTTTGAGTTTACTCCATATTTCCCATTTATTTTATCCTGTAAAGTGGACTTTGGTATCCCAAAAGATTTTGCGGCGGCAGCAATTGATATCCCCTCCCGCCGAACTGCATCGATGGCCTTCTCTACATCGTCGATGGAGTATTTCTTCGCTGGTCTAGTTGGAGTCTGCATCTTTCCTGTGAACAAAATAAGTAACTATGCTAGTGTGAAGTTTGGTAGCATATACCTTTTTTATATATATATATGTGTGTGTGTGTGTGTGTGTGTGTGTGTTATTAAATTCACGAGGAGAACTGGTACTCGATAAAGTATTAATAAATTATCCTGGGAAAACCAACAGTGTTAAGTTAATACAAATCTCAAAATATCACTACGTCCTAAATCTTACTTAAAACATTGAACAAAACATTTTTTCCCCCGTTAGTTTAATTTAATGTCTGATCGAAACTAAGATTTAACACTTTGACAATCATATAAAGCATTTTTATTAATTTTTTTCTTTATATCTATGGACAACCGGGATTCGGCAAGTCAATATAACGCAACGCCGTAATCCCGGTTTTGCCGACCGGAATAACGCGATGCTACATTGTTTACACCCTAAACCCGGTCGGTTTATTACTCTAAAAGTTTTCGGAATTACTCATTATAAATCACATTAAAACAAAGTATTCACATATGGAATCATAAAAACAGGTAGTTTATTTGACGTATTTCACAAAAGTTTAAGTGAAATCTTATTTCTCTTACCTCTATCCTTAGCAGTTAGCTCTAGAGATGTTGCATTTTCTCCC